GGGGGGGGGGGGGGGGAGGGAGGAGGAGGAAAGGAAACTGAGTCAGCCAGCTTAGCTTGGTTTGTAGTTTCTGCTGCTGGACTGAAACCTGACACCATGAACTCTTGCAGCTTTTCTAAGACTTTAATTCTTTCACTGCCTGGATAAAATATACAGATTACTCCTTTTTCCCAGAGAGACAGAGAGAGAAAGGGACAATCAACATAAAGAAGACATCATAAAACCACCAAAAACAGTGAAAAAAGAGTTAAGTTTTAGATGGGGAGAGAATAAGGAGATGCTTTATAAGCTGAAAATATCTTTCTGTTAAAGCTATGGAGATGGACAATTGTGGTTTAAAAAGACTCCTTTAATTTATGACAGAGTATATTGGGAGGAATGGAGTGTTCAAAGTGTGGATTTTGAGCAAAAGAGAGAATAATTTGATACAGTGAGTTGCTGGAACAGAGTGAAGCGAAGATTTGAAGCCTTGGAGGCAATGAGAAAACTTTCCAGGGAATCTCACAGAGACAGATGAAAAAAAGACTTTTGCCTTTGAATAACTCATCCTTAAAATAACATCCCTAGACTCATGGCCCATACACACCTCAGAGTGATGTGAAATGGGAGGAGTGAAATCTGATGACAGGATTTCCGGGCAGCTGACATCAGAAAAATAGAAAACTATAACAGAAATAGTTTTCTCATGAGAAACTCCATAGATTATCAGAAGAAGACTTCTGTTTCTCTACAAAGACTGATGAAAAGACGGTAGCAGAAATTGAGACTGTTTTAACCATTATCTTTCTGCTACTTCTTATTTTCCCCACAAGGGATAAGTGCATTTAAACACCAATAGGAGCTAAAAATTCAGGTACAGTTCACACAAGTCACTTAAGTTGCAATACCACCATGTTTCATGCACTAAACAGTAGAAATAAGATTAGAACTGAGGGGTTTTTTATCTCAAATGCAAAACTCTTTGCTTGCACTGTGCTGAATAAACAGAAGAAAAAAGACCAATTTGATAGAACAATTTAGAATTCTGTCATTTGAAAGCAAGGCCAATATTACATGTGGGGAAATACAAGGACCAGGATATCTGGTATGAAAACACAGTACAGTTTCTTTAGATGCTGCAGACACATCATCTATATGAGTTCCCTGGACAGAAAGCAAATATAGGATGTGAAAGAAAACCTCTTAAAGTCAGTCACACCATAGAATGCAATCACGTGGCTTTCAAATTCATCCTGAACACCGCACAGTGGATATTTTTCCCTACCTGAAGGCAAGCAATTTTTTTTTTCTTTTTTATTTTTTTTTAATCTCAGATATTTATTAAAGTGTTTTTTCCAGTGACAAGCCTGTATTTCCTCTTGCAAGGGTATCTCAGTTGATTTTTTACCAACATTACCATAACATCCAAACATCAGCTAGACCTTCATGAGCCTGCTAACTCAGAGGATCTCCTCACCAGCATTATTTGTATCAGTTTCTGATGGGAGATAAAGCATTGCTATAGCACCTGGATGCTCTTGTCCATCCAGGCCTTCCTCTGTGTTTTAATGCTTTGCTATACATTTAAAGTTTCCTCCAGAGTACCCATGCCCAAAACTGGACATGTATATTACAGGACAAAAGCATGAAGGTTACTAAAGCACAATATAGAGTTGTCCTATATAATTATTTTGTTTATTTCTAGAAATATTTGCTAAGCCAAGTAAAAGCAAAAATTCAACAATGGCAGTGAACTCCCTGATGGGGGTTTTCTGTCCTGGATAGTAATTTCACTTTCATATTTGTGTTTCATCATTTTCTTAAAATTGTGCCTGCTTTATAAAAATATTACATGAGATAGCCTTTCTATTTTCAGGCTGTATTTATAAATTACTATTTCATTTAAATGTCCAATCAATTCATATTAAGACTTCTTTAGAGCTTAATCTGATGGAGATATCTACTAGTTTAAAACTGTCTGTAAAGCTCACAGCTCTCAGGAACTGTGTCAGCTGCATTTAAAAGTGGGTAAACAAAGACACCAATACTGTTATCCACCCACAACAGAGCAGTGCTGCTTTTCCAAGCATCTGGCTACTTCCACCAAACTTAGGGCTAAACTTGCATTTGGTAGGAAATGTTCACATTTAGTTAAACAAGATCAAACTCACAATCACTTCATGTGAAGCTAGACAGCAAAATAATAACTCTTACTAGGTGATAGGTGTCCCTCATAGTTAATGAGCATTAATGTGATCAGTTGAGAGCTGCTGCTCCCTCACTGTGCCACGTCGGATGCCGCTGGCAGCGGGGACTCCTTGGGTATCAGATCGATGTCATCAGTAAAGCTGTTGGCCCGTGACATGTCTGGGGTGTGCCCTTCCAAGTGTCTCCCCACTGCACAAATGATTCAAAGAGATCATAATATGTAAGAGACACAAATCTGAAAGCTCTTGCCATAGCACATACAAAGTTCAAACATAAGGAACTTCTCTCAAGAAAGGTTTGTCTTCTTGAGGGCTGTCTCCTGTGAACAGAAATTCACCATATCTGCAATATAAATGCGGGTATGACAATACAAACGATCAGATTTCCATTTCCTCACTCAACACGATTTGATATGTATGCTTTAATACCTTCAAAACTATTATTTAAAATTCTGTTATCATACAGACAGCATACTTGAAACCAAAGTACTATCTGCACACTATAACCACCAGTGTTCCAAGTTTCTCCAGGAAGCCTCAGGAGCAGCACTGATGTGGCTGCATCCTCTGCAGAATAACCTTGGTGGATACAAGCTGTGTTGGAGTTTAGCTCATGTTCCAAGTGTTACAATGGTACAAATTTCAGTACAGGTTTTGAAAACATATAATAGCCAACTAATGAAGGAGTTCACTAAGACACTACAAAAATCAGAGAAGTGCAGCTGGCCCTGTAAGTGCTAAAATCCAATGTTTTCTAAAGATCTACCCTCAAAACTCATTTACATCAAGAATAGGGCTGACTTCATCATAAATGTGCAGTGTACATGTACCTGTCTAAGTTCAGATACATGAATATTCAAAAGCTATTTCTGCTGCAAGTTCTCTTCAATATATTTTCCTACATTAACTTGGTTCAAAAGATATAAAGTATCTCTAGCTTAAGTTGCTGTGATCTAAAAGCAATTTAATTCATGATTCCTGGTGATCCTAACAGTTTCTAAGGAAGCTACCTATAAATTTTAATTCTGATAATCCTTGAAAGCACATGAGCTGACAGTCTAGCTTAGAAAATGGATAGGATGACACATATAAATTCAAGGGAGGAAAAAAAAGTGTGTAGGTGTATCATTAAAATTAAGCTGATGCTTATTTTGATGCTATGATAAACTAGTAAAGACTAAAAAATGTCACTGGCATATACTGTGGTAACAACCCAGGTGACAGAAATAAGAAACCTTGCCTTCTAGAAAATAAAATTATTGAAATCTCCAGTTAATTCCAGAACAACACTTTAGCTGGATTGCATTCAAGTTCAAGGTAAATACTAAAAAGCCAACAACACCAGAGCTTACTGTTGGAAGAGCCACAACCCAAACGGCAAGGAGTGAAAATGATGTCTATGGAATTGAATTATCAAATTATGTAACTGAACACTGACAAATGGCATAAAATAATGTCTTGATTTTGGAAGACAGGTGTCTGCTAGGGAGAGCAGAAGCCTCCCTCGGAATGAAAAATGTAAACCCCCTCCCTCCGAATTACGATAATTCTGAAATCAAGGGGCTCTCAGGCAGAGCTCTGGGGATAGGAATAACAGGTCTTTACTAGTATGTATAACAAGGCACACAAACAACAATAACTACAGCGTTAGCAACAAAACAGAACCAGGGGTCCCGTGACAGCTTTCTCGGCCGAGACGGGAAGGGATGGAGGAGAGGCTTTGTTTCACAAACCCCTCGGGCAGTCAGTCCCGGTGCTCCTGCAGGGCTCTGAGGAACAGTCGGCTGGAACAGCAGGAATGAGAAGAGATCCTGGGCCGGTAGTTGAGGTGTATCAGCAGCTCCGCGGCGGTGCCTGGCACTGCCACACGTCCCGGCAGGACAGGGGGTGCGAAGCCACCAACGAAGAGGGAAGAAGAAGCAGCAGCTCCGTCTGGGTGATGGCGAAATTCCCTTCTCCCCACAGCAACAGCTCTGTGCCCAAAGTGTCCTTCTCCAAAGCTGAAGAAGCCCGCAAAACTGTCCTCACCCTCCCCTTTTCCTGCCCCCTTCCCCCCTGGGCCTGGCCGAACTCTGTGTTCTTCAAGTATCCACCAAGTACCCGCAGTTAGGTTTTCCCTGCAACTAATGGGTAAAAATTCCACAGGCAAATAAAAGAAGGACACCTAACCCCCAACAAACAACAAAGCTATTTTATTTACCTCTGCTGCATTTAATCACAAATAAACTGTGTGTTTCCAGGGGAAACCCAAATCATCCTGGCACTGGGAGCATGAACTTCTGTCCTCTCCCAACACTACTGAAACACTTTGGCTCTTCTAGGGGAGCTTTATTTTGTAAGACCTGACAGTTCTGCATTTGTTCTGATAAGACATTTTTCCTGTGAGAGAACTATGTGACCTCATACTTTGCCAGACAAAGTCTTGAAACACACAGATTCAACATTTGAAGTATGGCTTTGGGAAGCACCAATCTCTGAACAAGTAAAATGGCACATGATCACATCTGCAAAATTCAGCTGGGGGAGTTTTGGCCTCAGCTACAGTAAGGTTTTCCCTGTAGGAACATAGCAAAACCTGGGAGTGGGCTAAGGCAGAGTTAAATCACTATGCCCATATTAGGCACATGAGATTAACGGGAAAACTCTGCATTGCTATCAGTTCCTACTTCCCAATGAACTGCTGAAAGGGTCAGAGCATAGCCTAGTTAACTAATGGCCGTTTGCCTCCTTCAGAGCACTGCATAGATACTAAAGTTACTGCAATGCATTTGCCACGAGAAGTCATAAGATTATACTTTAGTCCTGTCGTTTTAGGGGTTTGGTCTATTATTGCTTTATCAAACTCCTCTCTGACTCATCACACCGCTGCTTGCAATCTGCATCCAGGCACACCTAAAAACCCCATAACCCCCTAATTGTTTACTTTGGCTTGCTAACACCTTTTCTGAGAAGTGTTCCCTACTGCAATGTGCTCATCAGCACGGTGGTTTGAGCAAGGGTGAATGACAGCAGGACCCAGTCCCGAAACTTTCGCTTCCTCACAATTCACATGTGCTGAGCTGAGCAGCTCTGCTGCTTCTGCAGAATGCACCTGGAGCCTGCTCTCTGACCAGGGACCTTCTGCTGGGATGTGGGGAGCCTCATCCTGGGAATAAACAGCCTCTGCTTGGTTACCAACACAAGCAGGACAAGCTTCTGTTGTGTCTTTACATAAGGCAAAAGCACTCACATTTTCCCTTTGGTGAGGACTGCTGTGAGTATCTGTGGCACTCATTCCACAAGGAGGGCACATTTAATTCCTGCAAGCATTTGGAGAAAGGCAATGATGTGATTATGTATTCTACAGAAACAGGAATTGTGTAACACATACATAGTAAATTTTATCAGCTGAATGGAACTTGTGTACTTAACTTCATAAAATTAAGTATTTGGGTCACATCTCAGAGATTTCCTCTGAGACTGCTCTCCCATGCTTCCATGGTCAGATCCATGGACAGAACAATTTTAGCCGTTTTGATTGCAGACTAGATTTATCTCAAAAGTATTAAGAGAAAAAAGAGCTGCTCACAGAAGTGCTGCTCTAATATATCAAGTTAAAGCAAAAATTACATCTCTGAGGCTCATTATATTTGCATGGTGATATTATGAGACTCTGTACTACTCTCTGAGCCACTTAACTCAATTAAAGGTATTAGTTTTTGGAAGTATTAAAGCTATCACCAGAGAATACTTGTTTTATCCATGCAACCCTAATAAGTTGTTTAATATTGATTTCCCTCTATGCTTTTAAAACTCATTAATTCTACGTGTTTCTGCTTTAAAAGATTAACACATGAATAATGTGTTCTGGTCTGAAAATGAATGCTAATGGTAAATGCATGTAATACATGGTATTTTCTAAGTATTTTCTGTCCTTTAAGTGACTGTCAGAATTATGAGCAGTTATCTTCTTATTCAAAACACTCTTTCTGGGACAAACTCAGTTTTTTGAAGTTGACTCACTTTCCTTGAAATTCCAAAACTTATTTAGACAGCAATATTCAGTCATAAATCAAAATTCCCAAAAATCACACTAAAAGGGACAATTTCTGTTTTAATGTCAAGCTCCTGAGCAATAAAGTAATTAATAATAATCATTCATGATAGTGCTTTCACTTTGAGGAAATGTGGAGCATTATAATACATTCAACACATGGCAATGATGTTTTCCAGAAATAAAACTCAAAGTTGTAAGGCCCGTCTACTACAGATGGTAGTTTGTAGCAGCTGCAGCTCAAGACAGAACAAATCTGTCTTCCCTCTCTATACTTATTTTCACAAGATTTCTTTGTCCAAACTGACTTTATGGGAATTAATGCCCTACATTTGATGTTGCAGAGTACTAAGCAGGGGAGGCAAGGAGATATGAAAAGGGAAAAGAAGAGGAACCATCCCTCCCTTCCATGTGTAACTACTCAGAGTATGAAGAAGTTGTACTGGTTTCATCAAAAAATATCCAATACTTCATGAGCATGAAAAGATGGAAGCAGCAAATTGAAAATACAGAATAGTATCAACCACAGTATAACAAATTCCAGCAAATGCCACAGACCCAGGGACCCCAAAACAGAGCAACTGATTAAACAGTAAAAAGAAAGTTAAGTTTCATGTACCTTTACTTTAATTTCTAAAATGGTGAAGTCATAAAATAAACACATCAAAACATAATCCAGAGACATTTTTTTGTAATGCTGTTTGGCTTTATCTGACCTTAGAGTCCTTATCTATTTTACACTAACTGCTGTCTTTGCATTATGGGGAAAGGGTAAATTCCCAAATTACAAATGTGACAGGAAACTTGACTGCACTGTTGTGGCCATTTCCAAACAGCCAATGCCTATCAACAGCAGGACAAAATAACAAGGAAGATGTTGCACTATCATCTTCTCAGATAAAGATGGAAAAAAAAGAAAAAGCAGTTCTCTGCTCCTTCAGTGCCACCATCTCCTCATCACTTTCAGATCAGAAGCTGTTAAAACCCTCTCTCCCATCATAATGCCAGACTGCCTTACTCAATATCATCGATACATAGGACAAAAATATATGATTTAATTTCATATGTAAGGCTGCATTTCGACAGAAAATCCCTGGGATAATTATGCTTCCTTTATCTGCAGGGATGAACTGCCTGTGAGATCACACTACTGTCTT